ACATGATAAATAATGAAATTAATTATATTATTGACACTACGTTTTATTAATTTCTGCAAAAAGAATACATATCTTCCTAAAAACTGATTTCAATCATCTCTAGATTTACTTTCGACGCAGAAACACCTGCTGGTTCTCATCATTCGGTTCAGAAACTTTTCTACCATTAGAAAGTGCAAACACACCTTAAAGTCTATGGCAATCAGGTCAGTGCCAGGAAAGGCAAGAAAACGGCAACTTTAGCTGGGTTTGGATTTCTGTGTGGATTTTTTCGTGGCATCACCGAAATTTCAAGAACAGCTTATTTGTCAAGATAACTAGCTTATTTTGAGTACATTTTATGCCTGTGATGTGTCGAAATAATTCAGTCTGGATGTTGATCATGATGTTGATGCTTCCGGTTGATGAATTCCTATCTGTCATGAAGTGCAATGCTGTGAACAATAGGGGTGCAACGGTTCAACTTATGGTTCGGTTTGTATCACGGTTTTAGAGTCACGGTATGGGCTATGTTTAGGGGAAAAACTATATTTTGTCAAATAAAAATAAAGAAAATAAGAACAAATAATCTAACTACAAGCAACAGCACAAATAAATAAACAGTGAAAAAAGATACAAATAAAATAAACAGTGCTTTTCAGTTTTTTTAGGTAGGTCTAACATAGTCTTTAGGTACAGAAATTGAACCAGTGCACTGATACTGTACGTTCTGCCGACTATGTCTGCTAGGATACTCACCAAGATGGGTATTTTGACATAATTTTTGTGTGAATTTGTCCATTTAAACACAATACTTCACAGAGAGCTTAATATTTACGCGTGTTCTGAGACGCGGGTTCACGCGCTTCGGATGAGCGACCACAGATCTTCTCACTGCGCGCGCGAGTTCACGTATGCATTGTCAGATTTAAGTTGAACCGTGGTCTTAGAACATGCCGAACCGTGTGTGGAGAACGGTATGGTTCGATTTTTTACTGAGAACCGTTGCACCCCTAGTGAACAAGTCTGTATCGATGCAAAAAAAAAAAAAAAAGAATAGGCTAGATGTTTAAAAAATATTTAAATAGGCATATGATACATATTACTGCAATGTTTTATTGTAGGCTAAATAACTCTTATTATATATAAATAAAAAAGTGTTGTATGCCCTTCGAAAGCAAAGCACTTGCGTTTGATGTTTCTTTTTTTTAATGAAAAGAACATGCATGAATGAGAAAATAAAGTCAGAATGTGCTTGATGTTAAAAGTGTTATTAATTGTAATAAGCCATGAAAGAGATCTCAATGAGTTATTCGCACTGACTGACACACCCAAAGCGCACTGAAAGACGCTTCTCTCAGACAGCATGCGATCCCGAAAGCTAGGCTAGATAGCTAGATAGAAGGCTAGATACTCAAAGCATTTCAAAAGATCTGTCTTGGCCTGTATTCATGCAAACAATCAGTTATGTCTTAAGTGAACGTTTGGGGAGTAGTTCGGGAAAAAACATCTGATGTGTAACAATATATTAGATCCGTGCATTATAAATCCGCTGCCGTATGTGTCATTAATATTAATCAAACAATAAAAGAAAAGAGGGAATCACTCACTGCTCTTGACTGAACAATTTTTGTAGCTTTAACAATAATCAATTTATTTGTAATAAATATTTGTACATTTTATTATTCAATTTATGTTTTTCTCACTTGAATTTTTTTGTCGCCCCGAATTTATCCTACTCCAAATGTTGCACAATAGCCCAGAAAGACATGAAGGAGATTATCTACTGACATTTTATGTATTCATTTATATATTAATGACATCTTCTACTGATATTTCATTCTACTAATAAAGTTATACAAATCATTTCAGTGGATTGACTTGTTGGTAATTGACCCTTCGCTGGGAGTTTTATTGACAGGCGATCTGACCAATCATAAGGCAGAATCTGCCATTTTGTCTGACAAACAAACCAGACAGAAGAGTAGATTAATGTCGGTGGACTTGAACTTGATAAATTGTGTGTACTGACGTATTTCCGCGGTTGAAACAAGATACCTGCTGATGTTCATTCATGTTTATTTCATGCTCTAACTAGCAAAGAGGAAGGAGATGATTGGTTCACGTTAGAGACCTGCACTTCCGCGGGAGTACTGCGGGACCCGCGGGACCCAACGCAGCAGGGTGCGGCGCGGGACAACTCTTGATGGGCGAGTGCGGGTGCGGGCGGGAAGACTCGTGTGTGTGCGGGATGCGGGAGAATAAAATTATTTCGCGGGACTCCTGCAAAATAGAAATTATCTAAACATAAAGTGTCTAAAACATATTATTTATCTGTTGCACAAAAGCAAAAAGAACAACTAATATTAACATTAAAATGATTGACATGTGCAAGCATAGTTTTTATTTATAACACGTGTTTAAAGGGTTGCGCAATGCCCATGCTTGCTTTTCTGTAAAAAATAACAGTGGTTTGTGAATGTTGATGCTTAGCCTAAATAACAAATATTTTATCGGGAGTGTTTATGCTGGGATGTTGTGGTACTTAGGAGATGTTACAGAACCATTTTATGTAAATTTCTTCGATGTACTGAAAAAAATATAGATCACTTTTATGCGGGCTGGAGAGGGACCAAATAAGATATATTTCTGCGGGAGCGGGCGGGCGTGGGACAGAATCTTGCGGGAGCAGGACTGAAAAATCCGTCCCGCGCAGGTCTCTAGTTCACGTGCCTCTTGAACTGAGGCGCTACAGCAATCAGTCACGGCACATGGAAGAGCCAAAAAACAGTATTTATTGAATTTGAATTTCTTAAAAAAAAGATAAAATGTGAAAGCTAAGACTTTGTTTCATACCAAAAGTAACCTGCTCTGTCTTGTCTGTCGGCACGCTGTCACTGTCCTCTTTGCTCAGCAATGTATTTTTCACTGCATGAGAATATGATGTGTGTCGTGAGAGCGCCATGGCTTCTCGGACGTAGCAACAGTAACTAAGGGAGGCAGGTCTAAGGGTGAAGGGTCAAACTGCTACAATCAAGCTCTTGTGGTTCCCCCCATTCGTTTCAAAGTTGTTATGCTTTTTGGACATGCACATCATAATAAACAGACCTGTTCTACAAAACTTTAAGAATTTTCCCATAAATGTGTCATATATCACTGAAAATCGGAGAATCTCAGCTTTGGCATGTAGTCAGAGTAATTATGGTTCAAATGTGTTGCAGTATTAAAAATAAGCTTAATATTAAAGATCCTTTACAGTCTGGTTTCAGAGCCAAACACAGTACTGAATCTGCACTTTTAAGGGTAGTAAATGACCTCTTACTATCTATCTGCAGATTCTGGCAACTGTACTATTCTGCTATTATTGGACTTAAGTACGGCTTTTGATACAGTGGATCATCGTATCCTGTTAAAGAGATTAGACCTTGAAGTTGGCATTCGTGATGTTGCATTAGATTGGTTGGCATCATATCTCACAAATAGGAGTTTTTCAGTGGAAATTGGAGAATGTTCATCAAGCTCAGTTCCCGTCACTTCTTGGGTGCCCCAGGGCTCAATTCTGGGTCCAATCTTATTTTCGTTATATTTACTCCCTCTCCGCTTAATTTTCGAGTCCCATAAAATTTCATATCATATTTATGCCGATGATACTCAGCTCTATTTTCCTTTAAAATCAGGTACTGATTCAGTGTCCTCTCTGCTAGCTTGTTTAGAGGACATTAAGGTTTGGATGGACAATAATTTCCTTCAACTAAATCAGAAAAAGACTGAAGTTATGTTGTTTGGCCCTTCACACCTTTTAAATAATCTAAGTTCTACCCTGGGCCCCCTTCAAGAAAACATTCGCGATAAAGTTAAAAATCTGGGAGTTACCCTTGACCCTGAGTTAAAATTTGACAAACAAATCAATTCTGTAGTTAGAGCCAGTTTTCTGCAGCTTAGGGGACTTCGCAAGCTTAAAAATATTCTGAGCTTTAGTGATTTGGAGACCGTTATTCATGCATTCATCTCAACCAGGTTGGACTATTGTAACGCTCTATACGCTGGAATAAATCAGTCCTCGCTCTCGCGCTTGCAACTAGTACAGAACGCCGCGGCTCGTTTTTTAACAGGGACAAAAAAGAGAGAACATATCACACCTGTGTTAGCGTCACTTCATTGGTTACCTGTTCAATTCAGAGTTGATTTTAAGGTTTTAGTATTTGTATTTAAATCACTTCATGGTCTTGCCCCTACTTATATTTCAGATCTTCTCCATTCCTACTCTCCTGAGAGAACACTTAGATCTTCCACCCAGATGTTATTAAATGTTCCAAAATCTCGACTTAAATCCAAAGGTGACAGGGCTTTCTCAGTTCTTGGTCCAAAGCTCTGGAATTCCCTACCATTGTCTATTAGACTATACCCTACTCTATCCACATTTAAATCTTCTCTTAAAACATTTTTTTTTTCTCAGGCACATGCTTAATTTGGTAATATTTTAGCTTTAATTTTGTTTTATTTTGCATGGTAATGTTTTGTTTTGTTTTAACTGGGATGTTTTTGTCTCGTATGTTGTGCAGCACTTTGGTCAGCATTTATGTTGTTTTAAAGGGCTATATAAATAAACTTGACCTTGACCTTGACCTAAAGCTTAAATTAATATGTCAATATTAAAGATATCAAGGTTATATTTTGATATCATGGTGACAAAAACATGATTATAAGGCCACCAGGAATATGTGATTTTTTTTCTCTGCATATGTGTGGTTTCAGTTGTTCCTACATGTTTCCATAAAATTGGAATACATTTAAGAATGAAAATTATTCATAAATCATGAATTGTTTGTGAAAAACGTTTGTACACAAATCTCTTGCACATGAGCTCATACAATGTGCATACAAATGCTTAGCAAATGAGATCAATTGTGTGAAAAAAAAAAAAAATCACCAAAAATGTATGTTTGTGTTTCTCCTGAAAAACTGCACATGGGTTGGAAGGATGAGTCATTAACGGCATAGTCAGAACAATGTTTCCTCACCTTAGTGCAGTTGGCCGCTTTGGGTTCCAGGTCATTGAGAGTGACCAGCTCTCTGAGAAGGCTGCTCTCCTGGTAGCCTCCCTTCACCCCTCGTAACTTGAAGTAGGCCTGAGGCTTAAACAGAATGAGTCGCAGGTTGATGGCAAACCCTGCCATGTCGATGGCAAAGGGCCGGTGAGGGTCGAATACTGTTTTCCACCCATACACTTTTCCTGCTGCATTGACCTTTGGAGACTCGTATCGTAAACCTCCAACAAACGCTACAGGCCACACTGATACTTTACGAGTTGATCGCATCTGCAGAAAAGAAAGAGAGTATTTTTTTTCAAGCCCTAGATAAAATAGTAATTCCGCTAGGTGACACTAGTAGCACAGAAAATTCATACCTCACCTTTAAAAAAAAAACCTTCCGACCCCATACTTTTAAGAGGTAGTTTTAAATGCGTTACCTGTCCTGGTAAAAAGTTTTTTAAAGGGGTCATATGATGCGATTTCAATTTTAGGTTAACCCTGCTGTACAAACATGCCACAAAACCTTCATCATGTCCATATCAATTCACCTGCTGTTTATAGTGTGCTTTCTTTAAGTGACAACACAGGCCTGATTAGACACCTTAGGATCATGTTTTGGACAGTGTGGTGACTCAGACATACAAACAAATCTTAACGGCAGGATTCATCCTGAGCAGGTCACGGGAGGTGAATAGAAATCAGAAGCAAGACAGTGAAAGACAGAGAACAAGTGAGAAAGAGAAAGAGAGACAGATTCTCCTTTAATCTTCCTGCTTCAAACACTCCCTACACTCCTCCAAATGCTTTGTGTGCCGCCCAGCGCAAGTGGTCCACATCATAAAAGGAAACTGCCTAATGAATAGTGAAGGCTAGAGCGGGCGAGTGAAGCAGTTGTCTTTATACCCATAATGCATCACTGTATCCAAGGGAAGGTTTTTATAACAAAAAACACAAAAAGACTGTAGATGGAAAGGAACACTGTGCCTCTTTCTCATTTACGAAAACCACTCGCTCACTATGTGTTTGTAAAAATAAATAAATAAATTGATTAAGACTGAACTGTTACTGGCTGTCCACACTGATCCAAATGTAGCTCAAGTAATTGACTGTGAACCTTTGCCACCATATCAGGAATTAAGGGAACAGTCCTGGCCAAAATGTCACCCTCAATCTGATTACTTCCGCAGCGACTAATATTATATTGTGCCACTGCCATTTTTCATTAAAGAAAGAGAGGGGCATTTTCTGTACCTGTTGGTGGAAACAAAAACAACTGGAATGGGAAAGTGTTGAAAAGGATGCATGCTCGTTGCAGATTCAGGATGACATTAATCTTTTTTATACTAGCTGTCATTGGGGAGGGCTGCTGAAGCTATGCTGCCCTAGTTTAGCATAATTAACGGCTGTTTTATGCTTTTTGCCTCTCATTTAAAGTGCTTCATGCTGAATTCTGAACTGAAGAAAAGGAGAGAACCTATAGATGGTGGTGTGAAGTGGACTTAACTTGAGAAGCAGTTAATTTTAGATTTTTTTTTTCTATCTGACATTTAAGCAGTTTCCAGGTTATGGAACAAAATTTACATGTTACTTTCAACAAGAAACCTACATTTTAATATTATGTTTATATTAGCACAGGTGTATTCAAGTGTTGGGGTTGCAAGAGGGTGCTACATGATCTGTGGAGCACTTGAGAGAAAAGAAAAACGATTTTTTAAGAATGTATTGTGTTTATGGCTGTCAGTAGCATTAAATTAAAATAATTTAAATACAAAGTATTTTTATTATATATTAATATTTTATATTGTAAAAAGCACAATACCAGTAAATATGAATTTATTGATTGCAAATGTTTCTCTTTAGGTTTATACATCTAACATTTACTACTACTTATTTTTTTTTACTAAAAAGACAGGTGTCACAGGTACTGTGCTCTCAGGAGACAAGCGCACGACGCAGGAGTAATCCAGCACACAATCTTTAATTCCAACTTCAAATCAAGAGAATAACCAGGAGACAGATAAATCAGAAACATCTAAGAGCAAACTAAACATGACGAAGTCTACGGGAGAACTGAGGACTTCTAAGCAAAACCCAAACAAAGGGAACTAGAGATGATTAATACAACACAGGTGTGAATGACGATTAACTAAATGAGAACAGGAACTGAACCAAATAAGGGCAGACAGGAACGAAACAGAAACCAACACTTCAGGGAGCCATGGCGGGGCAGGCAGTTCAGGAAGCTATGGCGGAGAAGATAGTTCGGGAGGTCATGGCGGAGCTGACAGTTCGGGAAGCCATGGCGGATCAGGGAGTTCGGGGAGCCATGGCGGAGCTGGCAGCTCAGGGGCCCATGGCGGATCAGGGGACACAGGAGGCCATGGCAGATCAGGGGACACAGGAGGCCATGGCGGAACAGGGGACTCAGTGGCAGCTCAGGGGGCCATGGCGGATCAGGGGACTCAGGAGGCCATGGCGGATCCTCCGTGGCCTTAGCCGGCTCAGCCACGGGTGTATGCCCCCCCCCCAAAAAAAAAATTATAGAAAACTAGAAATCCTGGGGGGCACTTGAGGGCGCTCTGGAGGGAGCTTTCAAGGAGTGGGCATTTGAGGGCGCTCTGGAGGGCGCTTTCAAGGAGCGGGCACTTGAGGGCGCTCTGGAGGAGCTGACACTGGAGCGAGCTCTGGGGCTGGAGCAGACACTGGAGCGAGCTCTGGGGCTGGAGCCGACACTGGAGCGGACTCCGGGGAAAGGATGAGGGTGGAGAACTGTCTTTTTCTCCTCGTCCTCCTTCCTTGGTTAGGTGTGAATGGAACGGCCGAAGGGCTTGAGAGTGAGGCGGCCAATGGTTCTGGGCTTGAGAGTGAGGTGGCCGCGAGTTCTGGGCTGAGGATCGGAATGGTTCGGGGAGCTGGAAACGGAAGATGGATGGCAGAATTCAGTGCTGACCAGACAGATGTCATAACAGTGTCCGCAACCTTAGCCCCCAGGTCAGCACTGTTAGAAACCCACTTCCGGGCTCGGGGAAACATAGGAGGATAGGTATGGTCGGAACCAATGGCCAGGTATGTGGAGAATCTCAACATGGGGTGAGCTGGCGAGGCCCAGTGGTTCTCAGAAGGGGCTGGACGAGAACGACTATTAACTTCTCCAACCTCCTCTACTTCGAAGTTAGAGCCATTTAAATATAGGATGAAATGTATTAACTCAAACAAAGAGAAGTCACAAACGGGAGAACGACAACGAATAGTGTTCTCATCCAGTCCCAACTGAAAACAGGCACATAAAGAGGCATCGGGCCAGCTCACATGATGAGAAAGCTTGATGAATTCCTCCACATACCTTTCCAGAGGGCGACCACCCTGTCGCAGGCAGCACAACTGGTCCTCAGCCCAATCCATCTTGTTTAAAGGTCTGTTCATCTGTCACAGGTACTGTGCTCTCAGGAGACAAGCGCACGACGCAGGAGTAATCCAGCACACAATCTTTAATTCCAACTTCAAATCAAGAGAATAACCAGGAGACAGATAAATCAGAAACATCTAAGAGCAAACTAAACATGACGATGAACGGACGAAGACTAATGCCGAGTTTACACTGCACGATTTTCAAACTCGTCGGATCGCCGTTGTTTTCACACTGCGTGACTATCTGGGGTAGCATTCAGTTGCTGCTGTGTTCACATTGCACGATGGATCGGCGACAGGGTGTTTCACACTGCATGACTTCACAATAGGAAGAATCGCCGACAGCTCTGTCTGGTCCACAAACTACGTTTCACAAAACACACGCGAGAAGTGATAAGGAAATAACGCGAGAACCCGTGTGAGTCAGACCGGAGTTCTCGAGCAAGACTAATTATTAAAAAATATATATATTTAGCCCGCAAATTGTCTGTGAGCTGATTTCCAGCTACAAGGAGAAAAAGAAAAACAGATCATGCAGGAGGGAGATGCAGGGAACAGGGATTGTGTGTTCTGCAAAGAGAGTTGGAGGTAAATAATTTTGCAGTAACTGTTATGCTGATGTTGTGGCTGGTCAAGCAAATGTTTGTGCTTGTTTCTGTATGATATAATTGTTCATATATCTATTAAAATACTGATATTCTGGTCTATAACTCCTCCCCGAACTTCCCTCTGCCCTGTATCTTGGTCTCTCATTGGCTGTAGGTAGAACTGAGGACTTCTAAGCAAAACCCAAACAAAGGGAACTAATGAGATGATTAATACAACACAGGTGGAAACTAATGAATGATGATTAACTAAATGAGAACAGGAACTGAACCAAATAAGGGCAGACAGGAACTAAACAGAAACCAACACGTGACAGATAGGCATCAATACAGTAATAACATAGAAGCCAATTATTTATGTATATGTCAAAATAACATGGTGTTTATAATATTTCACTTTTTTGTCACGCACTAGAAATGAGTCTTTATAAAATGATAATCATATTTTAGCAAAGAGTCCAATGCATGGGCAATTCATTCAAATTAATGTCATTTATATTAGGGTTTGCATCATGTGGCCAAGAGTGACTGATGTCCAGTGGTCAGTTGGTTTGTCTGTAAAAAATCAGTCTTTCCACCAGTTTGACCAACTCAATCTGATTTGTGAACCGTTTTCAAGCATCAGAGGTGGGCAGTATTGCATTAGCAGAGTAAACAGCCAATCACAGCGATGTAGAGACACTGTCTTCAATAATGTGACATTTTCCTGGGTCTTGTGCGGTTACCCCTTACTATGCTTTTTATTACTGCATTGTATGTTGTTTTATTTTTGTACAGTCAATTATTTTCTCATCCACATTTTTGGGAGGAGGCCCGACCAAGACGTACATACAGATGACTCATTATTCAGAATAGGACATGTTGAAATGATTCTGTCAAGCCAAAGTAGTCACAGAGGAGAGGGGAAAGTGGCCTGCCTGTGTCCCTTGAGCTCAGAGCACTTACAGCGAAGTCAATAGTGGAAAAGAAAGCCAGGAGAACTGGGGTAAAAATACATAGCATCTGTAAATAAACCCTGTCATTCAGAGTGCCTGCCTAAGCATTTTTAATAAGAGCTTAATAATTAATTCACCCTGGCAGGGATGGTTGTTTTAAACAAGGCCAAATGCATAATTCAGGAACTGTTACTTCAACTGTATCTACATTTAAAGAAGTAAAAGGTATTATGGTATCTTCTGTGTGATGTTTTCTCATTGTGGGTCACTGATTTTAGCCAACACACTGCTATGGCTCTTCTAAGTTAGATGGGAAAATGAAAGCCCAGAGTTGGGTTGAAACTAGTTTATCTTGGGAAGATTGCTATATATATATATATATATATATATATAAGGGGTGCAATGGTTCAACTTACTCACGGTTCGGTTTGTATCCCGGTTTTAGAGTCATGATTTCGGTACGGTTTGGTATGTGCTATGTTTAGGAAAAAAACTATATTGTCAAATAAAAATAAAGAAAATAAGAACAAATAATCTAACTACAAGCAACAGCACAAATAAATAAACAGTGAAAAAAGATACAAATATAATAAACAGTGCTTTTCAGTTTTTTTAGGTAGGTCTAACATAGTTTTTAGGTACAGAAATTGAATAAATCAAATGTAAAATAACATTGCATATTTGACTGTATAAATGAAAGATGAATCCTTATTAAAGTTACAAAAGTTATTCAATCAAGAGCAGTGAGAGATTTCCATGTTGTTGCTGTTTGATTAACATTAAGAAAGTGCTGTCACTTTAAGAGAACGCACTGATCCAGTGCACTGATACTGTACCTTCAGCCGACTATGTCTGCTAGGATACTCACCAAGACGGGCATTTTGACATAATTTTTGTGTGAATTTGTCCATTTAAACACAATACTTCACAGAGAGCTTAATATTTGCGCGCGTTCTGAGCTAGCTTCTGTTGCTAGTGTTTCTGAAGTAGGTGCCTGATATTTTTTTTTTTTACCACCCACCATCAATGATTTTTCTTTTCAGAGCAGGGTCTCAAAATGTAGGGATTTGAAAGGTGTTTCTTGTGATGAAAGTCCTGACAGGTATTTATGTACCTGTAGCATTATAAGTAATAGTTACCCAAATGTGAAAATTCTGTTATCATTTACAAACTTGAATGAATTCTTCATGTTGTTCCAAACCTGTATGACTTTCTAAACCTTTCCAAACCTGTTGTTCCAAACCTGCATGATTTTCTTTCTTCTGTGAAACATAAAATATTTTGAAGAATGTTTCAGCTTTTTTTTGTCCATAAGAGGAAAGTCAGTGTATTGATCAATGTTTTGATTTAATTAAATATCAATCTGTTAATCAAACTGAGCATTTTACTTCAGAAGACTTGGAATACCAGTCGAGTCGTATAGATTATTTTCATGCTATATTTAATTTTAAAGGGGTTTAAAGGGGTTTAAATTATGCTCTTTTACAAAGTCTTGATTTTGTTTTGGGGGTGTACTAGAACAGGCTCTCATACTAGGTTGTTCGAAAAACACATTATTTTTCACATATTTTACATTATTACAACACCTCTCTCCCCAGTCTGGCATGAATGGCTCGAATAGTTCCTGTATCAAATGAAGGCCCGCCTTCTGAAATCCGAAATGTGCTGTGATTGGTTAGCTGGGCCAGTGTGTGCTATGACTGGTTAGCTGGGCCAGTGTGTGTTGTGATTGGCAGCACTCTGCGCCTGGTCGGGAAATGTCATGCCCCTTACCATAGCCGCCTGCTGCGAGCTTCAGTGTAAAATATTGCGTCAATATCAAATCAATTTGAGCGCGATTTAAACCCGGAGGATTGTAACCACTCTAAGTTCGTCTGCCTGGGGAAAGCTAGCGTGTCTCCGACGTAGTGATAACACTCATTGCCTTCTCTAGTGCAGCTCAACCAGGTCTCATCCCATTCGTCGATATTTGTGATATATATCGAAAATATGCGTTGTAGTCCAAACGAGTCGTTCGTTGTAGTTTTTGAAAAGTGATTTCTGTTAAATAAAATATCTCCTTTTGAAGTGAACTTTG